GTGGCTCGTAAAATTTTATCCGTTTATTGCCGGCGTCATTATTGCCTCTTGAAGGTACAGAATTGCTGTAACTGATTTTGTGATTTGTCAACTCAATACAATGTGAAATGTTTACTCTCCAGCAATTTTTATTATCCCCGGTCCTTGCGCTTAAACTATATTATTATTGCGATCTTCTTCTTCTTCTTCTTATTTTTTTTTTATTGTTTTATAAGCGTTATATATAAATAAAGAACGCGTAAGCGTGCCGAACGCCAATCGGAAATTTTTCCATCAACTGTTATAGTAAAAAAAAAGAAGAAGAAGAAGAGAAAAATTATTTTACAATCTGTTTTGTTAATATCCAATAAGAAAGAGGGCAATTTGCAAAGCATAAATTTTCTCAAAAATCTTCTTTTACTTTTAACCTAATTTTTTTATTATTCATATTTTTTTCTCTTGGCTTTTGAGAAGCGCGAAGCTGAAAAATGTTTTCTGAATAAACATTTTTAATTCATTTTATTTATCTTATAACTAAAAAAAATAAAAGTTTATGTTTTTCATTTAAAATATACTGTTTCAGGTGAAGATTTTTAGAAATATAATTTTAATAAATTGTAGTCAGGATTATTAATTTTATTAATTATTTTGAATTTTTCCTGTTCTTTTCGTTACTAACGTTCAAAATATTTTCGGGGGTCTGCAAATTATTGAAGAATAATGCGAATAAAAGAAATGCAAGCGTTTTGAATTCCCATGGTGTACCCCATATCTCTGAAGGTATGTACAGGTCTCATTGGGTTGCATTGCGCACGCCAGCCACACTTATGACGTGTGCACACATATGCACTCACACGCTTCTTTGACCCTACACTCCTTTTCTCTCCTTCTCTCTCTTTCTCTGCATATACATTCTCTCATTTGTCGCAAGCTTTTATGCTCAGCCGCTATCAACATTTGTTCGCACGGAGAATAAATATTTTTTCAGTTCTACAAAATTTACCTCTTTGTATTTTTATTAATTTACCTTTTTAAATTTAAAAGTATAAATTTAAAGTATAAATTTATAATTCTCTACTTATACTGTTAACTTTAATTTTTATTAGATGAAAATTTTGACTACAATAATTTGTTGTTTAATATTTATTTACACTACGTCTATATTAGCTGCACGAAAAAAAATGTTGCTACATTCAAAAGAAATTTTTAGCTAAATAAACTATAAATTTCGCTAATATAATGAAATTTTTAGCTGTTCCAGGTAAAATTTTTTTGAGAGTAGTCAGGAAATTTTTCAATTAAATATATATTAGAAAATAAAAACATTAAATAATATAAAAAAACTTCAATTAAACTTTATAAAAAAAATTAATTATACAGAATTATTAGTTAAAAATATTAAAAATTCCGATTTTCAAAGATTATAGTTTGAAATCTTTCAAAATTCAATTATTTCTAAAATGCCATGCTATAATGCTTTTAATATTCAAATATTATCTAAAATTTCAACGAAAATTAATTTTTAAATCAATTTGTTTTAGAAAATTCTAGGAGAATTTAATTATTTAAAAAGAGAAAAAATAATTTATTGACTAATTGAATGTTTGGCAAAATTGAATTCTCATAAAGAATTTTATCAACAAATTTATAAATAATTATGAATGCTTTAAACGAACTTTAATAAAATTTTTAAGAATAATTACATCTTTATGGAACTTAATTAAAATTGTATTGAAAAAATAATTGAAATTCTGCGATTAGTTTTACTATTTATGAAAATAATTGAATTCCTAAAAAGAATTTTATTATTTACAAAAATAATTGAATTATTGCGAAAAAATTGATAAAAAATTTGTAAATAATTGAATTTCTATGAAATTTTTATTATTTATAGTAATAATTGAAATTTTGAAAAGAACTTTATTACAATTTTTGAAAATAATTGAATTTTGGAGCAGAATTTTATTATATTTATAAAAATAATTAAGATTTTGACAAGTTTTTAAAAATTTTTAAACATAATTGAATTTTGGAGAACAATTATATCATTTATAAACATAATTGAAATTTTGATAAACAATATTTTTGAAATACAAAAATAAAAAATTTTTTGAATAATTAAATGTTTCTTAAAATGCAATTTCACAAAGGATTTTATCAACAAATTTCTGAATAATTGAATTGCTTTGCCGAATTTTAATAAAAGTTTCAAAAATAATTACATTTTTTGTGGAATTTAATTAAAATTGTATTGAAAAATAATTGAAATTCTAGGGTAACTGTACCAATTGTCGAGGGTTTTAGGCAACATGTGACTTTGACATTTTTTTTCTCGGAAGTAAATGCACTTTAAAATTTGATTTTTGTATATTTGGACGAAGGATCTAATAATGTTTAATATTCATATTTATTTTTTTAATATAAACTAAATTGTTAAGCAAAAAATATATTTAAAAGTCAATCGAGCAAAAGCACCATTTGTCGATGGTCTTGTGCTAATTTCTCGAGGGTCTGTTCCAATTGTCGAGGGTATGACATTTTTAAACATATAACCCAATATAACCTAACAATTAACCTGTACAGATATTAGAAAATCGAGTAGATATTTATTTTTTCGATAAAAATATTATAGAACATTACCAGAAAACAAATATATTTATTTAACTATAATTGAATAATTTATAATATCGATATAAAACATTTTTATAGTAGATGATACAGGACAGAAAATTACTTAACTGTTTTTTAAACTTTTATAAATATAAGTTAATTAAATTTAATCAATTTTGTTAATCAGACATTAATTAAAAAAATAAATTAATTTAAGTCACATTAAATTTGTAAACGAATAAAATAAACTTTTATTACGAACTGTAAATATAATGGTTAATTATAATTAAACTATAGTACAAAATTTTTTAGTTTTAAATAATGCATTTTTTTATTAATTTTTTTTCGGTCTTTTTTCCTCGTTTTTTTGGTTGATTATTTTCTGTTGGTTGTAAATTTTTTGAGCATTTTTTTTTCTTTTTCTCTGTACCTATAAATGTTTGGCATTTATGTTTGACGTTTAGTAAATAAACACTTAACCATCGATAAATGGTGCATCAGCGAAAAAAGTGACTACACCAATTTTCGAGTCATTTCCTCGAAAAATGGAACTGTCAAAAAAAAGGAACCAAATACCGATGATTTGCTTTTAAAAAATATTAAATATTTTTTTTTAACAAAAAAACATGCATACAAAATTAATTTAGTTCGTGTACAAAATTATAATAATAATTTTGTACACAAAAAGTCATTATAAATACGTTTAATTTGCATTTATAAAAATCTGTTTTAATCAACCTGAAGTATTAAGAAAATGGAGATTCGTGTAAATTTCACAGCAGTGAATTATAATATTAATTAAATAATTATTTTAGTAGAATCGCTACGAAATTTGTATATATAAATATACAGTTGAAAATACAAAGATTATTTAGAAATTTTTTTTGTTCTTAAATATTATATATTATACTATTTATCTAAAAAAGAAAATTATTATCCTCGACAATTGGAGCACCCTCGGCAATTGGTGCAGTTACCCTACGATGAGTTTTACTATTTGTAAAAATAATTAAATTTCTAAAAAAAAATTTATTATTTACGAAAATAATTAAAATATATATGTCGAAAAAATTATTTAAAACTTTATAAATAATTGAATTTCTATGAAATTTCTATTATTTATGAAATAATTGAAATTTTGCCAAAAATTTTATTAAAATTTTTAAAAATAATTGAATTTTGGAGTAGAATTTTATTATTTATAAAGATAATTGAAATTTTGTCAAAAATTTTATTCAAATTATTGAAAATAATTGACTTTCGGAGAACAATTTTATTATTTATAAATAGATATTTGAAATTTTGATATTATTTGATATTTTTGAAATACAAAAAATAAATAATTTATTGAATAATTGAATGTCTGTCAAACTTGAATTCTCATAAAGAATTTTATGAACTAATTTTTAAATAATTGAATTTTTTTACCAAATTTTAATAAAAATTTCAAGAATAATTACATTTTTTTAGGAATTTGATTAAAATTGTATTGAAAAAATAATTGAAATTCTGCGATAAATAGAAATAGTTAACTATATTTACGAAAATAACTGAATTCCTAAAAAGAATTTTATTATTTACAAAAATAATTATTGAATCCTTGAAAAAGTGTTATTATTTATGAAAATAATTTGGTTATTGCGTAGAAATTTATAAAAATTTTGTAAATAATTGAATTTCTGTGAAATTTTTATTATTTATAAAAATAATTGAAAGTGCCTCAACAATTTTATTAAAATTTTTAAAAGTAATTGAATTTTGGAGAAGAATTTTATTATTTATAAAGATAAACCTCAACAATGAATGGACTGAAAAATAACTGATTTCCAGTTTAAAAAATTAACTAATTTTCAGCAAAAAATTATTGATAATTTATCAAAAATAAATGAAAAAGAAATTATATTAAAAAAGTTGTAAAAAATTACTGAAAATCAGTAGACTAATTAAAATTAGTTGCTGAAAATTTACTGAAATATCAGTTACTTTTACCTGAAACTCACTTTTATAATTTACAATTTTTTAAATTGATTTTCAGTTAAATATAACTGATTTTCAACTAAAAATTAGTTAATTAATAAAAAAAGTTTTGTTTAAAAATTAATTTCCCGTCCCTAATTAAATAGACACCATTAATAAATTAAAAAAAAGAAAAGAACGAATAAAAAGAAAAGAAGAAGAAGAAGAAAATTGTAATTAATTTCCCGTCCCCAACTAAATAGACAAGGTTAATAAATTCAAAAGAAGAGAAAAAAAGAACGAAAAAAAAAGAAAATAAGAAGAAAATTGCTAATTATAGTTCGTTTTGTAACATTTGATGAACCTTTTAGTCAAATGGGATGTTTTTTTTCCCACCAAATGTCAAATTTTCGAGGACAGCCGAGCCAATCGGAAGGTTAGCATGCACACATACGTCCCATGGAGACGAGTGGCGTGAATTCCCACACATCAACAGGTCTGGTCCCTGATGGTCTCGGAAGGGCCCCCCTCCTCTCTTTTTTTGCTCTCACTCTCTTAAACTTCAGGACTCTCCCTCTCCCTGAGGATACGACCCCCACCCTTAAAACTCGATGAGTGCATCGGCATGCGGTCACCGAATTCGAAAACGTCAAACAGTCACCCTTCAAAGCTTTGCTCAGAATATCCTCAACCTTCCCATTCTTACACGTGGAATAATTTACAACCAATTTCAAAAAAACACTAAACAATTTTCCCAATATTTTCTATTAAATAGAAAGAAAAGAAAATCATCCCTTGGAAAAAATTAAAAAAAAATCTTATTGTGTATTAAGAGGAAATTATTAAGTGATTGTGATTTTGACAAAAGGAAGAAAAACTTTGTCAAAAGTAAAATTGTGTCGTGCCTCATCGAACAATACTGTCGATGAAGTGTGCGAATTTTTTCTTTTGCGAAAAAAATAAAGTGAATGTTCGAATAGAGGAGGAAATATTTGTGAGTGTTAATTTTTCTCTCTAAATGGTGGATTACTACAAGTACAAAATGTCAGCAAGTGATGAGGAATTTGAACAACAATCACAATCGGGAATGTCAAAGGCAGAACTCAGAAGGGTACAAAATATTTAATTCTCCTATTTTCTTCTTGCTTCGACTATAAATTATTTTGTATAAATAATTAATTGTAATTAAACAAAAAAAAGTTTCCCTCATAGAATATTATAATTATCACTTCTCTATAAAGATTCGAACGAAATTATTCATTTTTTTCGAACAAAAAAATGCTTCTATTTGAATATTTATATTTTGAAGGTATATATATATTTGAATATTTAATTTAATCAAAAATTAAAATGAAATTAAATAAAAAATTACTAAACTAAAAAAGAAGATAATAAAAATATAACATTAATTTATTTAAGAGGATGTCCAAGTCGATTGCATTTTTATACTGAAGCTCTATATGTAAAAATCGTTTCAAATTTTTTTATTATTATTTTTTTAGTTAATAACCAAACTTTTTATTTTTGATCACGATCCTTAAAATTTGAAAATTGTAATTAAAAATTTCATTGTTCAAAGTGTAACTAACTTTTTTTCAATAAGATAAATATTAAAAGAAGTAAGAAAAAATTAAAAGTTCGAAACTTTAGGAACATTATGATTATCCCCCCTTTTAGTTCAGTTTTCTTAATTGTTATTTACAATTTCCATGGAAAAAATCCCGTTTTTGTATATGACGAAAAAATATGTCGCAGTTTCATTCTTCATTATCGCGAATAAAGGAGAAAAGAAACGTAATTTCTAAAGATGTAATTTAAAAACAAGAGTGTAAGCAGATTTGTAGCAGTCACGTGTGTTGGCATGCACACGTGACTTTCTTCACTCGAACAAAATACATGGATCAAGTTCGGGCCGCACAGTAAATGGAACTAAATTGCGTTAGCAATTTAGCAAAACAAAAAAAAATTATCGCGTGACTTCTCAATAAATTTCTTATTTGCAATAAATGATAATTCAAAGTATTTTAAATTTTTAATTCACTCACCATTATTCGCCAAATTCCACGTATATCTGTAACAAATAACAATTAAAATTAATAATAATATTAATGAAAACAAAAAAATATAATAATGCTAATAACAATAATAATGCTAATAATAATAATGCTGATAATAATAATAATGATAATAATAATAATGTTAATAATAATATTAATAATAATAATAACAATGATAATTAAATATTTTCCATATTATATTATAAATATTACATGAAAAAAATCTTCGCCTTAAACAATTACAAATTTTACTAAATAAGTAAAATTTTTATTTGTTTCAATTAAGACTTTCGTTCTTCTAGAGAAAATTATCGCTATCCCAGGCAAAGTTTTTTTTTGTTATATTAATATATTATAATAATTAATGTGATTCAAATTGTTGATTAAAATAAACTTTTTTCGACTGTAGTTATTAATATTATACTTAAAAACAATAATATAGATACTAAAAACCTATAAAAACTATATGCAATTTTTTAGTATACGTCCTGCAGTTAAATCTGGCAAAATAAAGGGGGTCAGAGATTAAATATATGTTAATTTTTTTCTAAGAGTATTCTAAATCCATTTTTTATAATTTTTCATTTTATTATTCATTTTTTATTCGAAAAGAATTTTTATAAAAATTAAAGCATAATTATAATAAAAAATAAAATAAAATAAAATTATAATAAAAGTAATAATAGTATAATAATTATAAACATTAGTTATGTAATTTGTAAATTCCTTGCTGTCCCACTTAGCCAGTTTTGATTGCAGCGTGAAATAACACTTTTTAAAAAAAATTCAATTTTGCCCTGCGGTTTATTTCCTTTTTAATTAGAAAAAAAACTAGTTAATTTTTCTCCACCAAAAAAATAAATAAATATAACATAATTTTTTCTATCGTAAATTTCTCTATATATAGTCAGTAAATTAAAACTATAATTTTCATTTCTTTTCAGAGTAACAAGCCAATAATGGAAAAAAGAAGACGTGCCAGAATTAATCAATGTTTGGATGAATTAAAGAGTCTCATTCTTGAAGCAATGAAAAAAGACGTAAGTTTAACAGATAATTTTGAATATTTTTTTCCAATGTTTCTTCTCAATTTTTTGTTTCAAACATTTGTTTTTAAATTTTCTTTTTAAAATTTTTTTTTTCAAACCTCAGCGCAATGTATATTTAAATAATTATGGATAAAATTCGATAAAAATACTAGTAAAACCCGTGTAGAAATTAACCAACATTTCTCTAAATGTTAAAAATAGGATTTTAATATGGGTCTTATCAAAAACTAGGAAAACTAGTTGGGCCCTCGATTATGCCTCGTTTCAAATAGGGCAAAGAAGGAAATTTTCTGCACGGATAATAATAATAATAATAATAATAATAATAATAATAATAATAATAAAAAAATATTGACAATTCTAAAAATAATAATAATAATAATAATAATAATAATAATAATAATAATAATAATAATAATGATAATAAAAATAGCAGAAGCAATAATAATAATGATAATAAATAAAATAGCAATAGTAATAATAATTATAGTAATAAATAATAATAATAATAATAATAATAATAGTAGAGCAATATTAATAATACTGAAAGTGATAATAATAAAAAAATATTGACAATTCTAAAAATAATAATAATAATATTAATAATAATAATAATAATAATAAAAACAGGAAAGTAACATTTTCTACAGTCAAATTTGTTAGTACAGATCAAGGTCAGAATTTACCTAATTTTCGATTGTGTCCACCTAATGTATATTTTAGTACACATGTTTAATCAGTTTGTCGAAGGGGGGTCTCTCTCATCCTGTTTGATGGCATTTGTTTTTAGATTGCGATAGTGAGAGAGAGAGGGGGGGAGAAGGAAAAGGCGGGGGGCAGAGGGGGGTTTGGGCCAGGTTTTGTTTTAGTATTTTAGATGCCCCGGCGTGGGAAACGATCCGAATGAGGCCCGTTTCACCTTTACACGCGCTTTTACACACACACACACACTTATACACACGACCAGAATCACGTTTACGAAATACTGTCCCACGCGAGTATACAATAGCACTCGATCCGATGGTAAAAAAAAGGGTGCTAAAGAAATTTCAGGAGCATCCGATTTAAGCTATACCTCTCTCCTGTCAATTTTTCATTTCTTTGACACAAATATTGATTCATATTCTCGAGCTCTTAGGTCTTCCGGTGTTGTACAAAAATTTACAGTAATTGTAGCAATTTTTTTTACTCAACAACATTTTGGGTCCATTCACAGACTAAGACATTTTTTGGAAATTTTAACTCTCCCCCTGTAATTTTATATTTTTTATATAATTTCAATTAATATTTATTTATATTATTTATAATTTTATATACATTAACGCCATTTTATATAATAACCGAAACAAATTTTTAAAAAAATAAAATAAAAAAAACAAAATAATGGATAATAAAATTAATAATATAAATAATAATAATAAAATAAAATGATAATATAATAATAGATGGGAAAAGATGAGAAGAAAAAGTTGAATCGCATCATTTTTCAAAAACATTCCCAACGTCCGGGCAATTTTGCGAGATCCTGTATCGACATTGTAACACAATCCAGGCAAGATTGATTTCTCAGACAAGCATATAACGAGACAAGCGACTCTCACAATTTGCCTTTTCATTCAGCGTATCGTGCAAAAAATACTCTCACAATAATAAATATATATATTCCGAAGCCGGTTTAAATTAACCGCATATTAATCAATCTTTCAAATAGACGTCGCTTGCATGTAATGCAATTTTTATGAATAAAAATTTTTCAATTTTTCCCCGTTTGGAATAAAAATTCGGTATAGGGGCCAGTCCATTTTTTTTTCGATTCGATTTTGACATTGACTTTGTGAATTTCATTTTCACTTTGACTTCCATTTTCATCAAACTTTGAATTTTATTTTCACTTTAACTTTCACTTTCAATTTCAGAGTCAAATTCAAAATCAAACTTTGAATTTCATTTTCACTTTCACTTTCAACTTCAGAGTCCACTTCAATTTAAAATCAAACTTTGAATTTTATTTTCAGTTCAACTTATACTTTCAATTTCAGAGTCAAAGTCAAACTTTGAATTTCATTTTCACTTTGACTTTCACTTTCAATTTCAGAGTCAAAATCAAAGTCAAAGTAAACGTCAAAATTCAAAGTTAAAGTAAACGACAAAATTCAAAGTTAAAGTCAGAGTGAAAGTGAAAGTCAAAGTTAAAATTTAATAGAAAATCAAATTCAAAGTCAAAAAGAAAATGAAAGTCAATGTCAAAGTTAAAATAGAATAAGAAGTCAAAAGTCAAATTAAAAAGTCGCACCTCGAGCATCAAAATATACTGAAACTATTGTCTCAAACAAAATTTATTTGATTTAAATAAAAGTTTCTTGATTCAAGTAAATATTTCTTGTTTCAAGTAAATATTTCTTTAATAATAGAAAAATACTCGTTTACTTGAACCAAATAAATTTTTACTTCTCACTGAACGAAATGTTATCTAAAAATTAAAAGAATCTTCTAAAAATACTAAATTAAAAGAATTTTTAGAAAAAATTCGAAAAATGTGCCTATTTTTCTCTCATACGAAATATTAAGAGACGATCTGTGGTTGTCAGTCTACAAATTTTTTTTGTCATTCATTCACGTTTTTTACAGTAACACCAAAAGAGAAAAGAATCATTTCATAGTCAAAATTTGTATATATATGTATTTAAACTAAGTCTCAGAAAAAAAGAAGAAGATTCAAAGACACCAGTTGAGTTATTCGTCTCCCATTTTCAGATGTGACTTCCGCGACCTGCTGCGTTTCGTTGTCCATCTTTGCTCCTCTTTCTCTTCTCTGTACCATTATTTTCTCACCCTTGCAAACTGTTTCTCTCTCTTTTTCTCTTTTCCTCCTTGTTACTCTTTCTTTCTTTTTTTCTACTTTTATTTTTTTCACTCTCTTTTTCTCTTTCTCCCTCTCTTTTTATTTTTCTCACTCTATTTTTCTATCTTTTTCTTTTTCTCACTCTCTTCTTCTATCTTTTTCTTTTTTTCACTCTCTTTTTCTCTCTTTTTATTTTTTTACTCTATTTTTCTCTTTCTCACTCTCTTTTTATTTTTCTCACTCTCTTTTTCTCTCTCTTTACTTTTTTTACTCTCCTTTATTTTTTTCACTCTCTTTTCCTCTTTCTCATTCTCTTTTTATTTTTCTCACTCTCTTTTTCTCTCTCTTTACTTTTTTTACTCTCCTTTATTTTTTTCACTCTCTTTTCCTCTTTCTCACTCTATTTTTATCTTTTTCACTATCTTTTTCTCTTTCTCACTCTATTTTTCTCTCCCCCCTCTGATTTTCCCTTCCTCTTCTTCTCAATCTCGAAAACACCTCCCACATTCGTGGGAACTGGGAGCTTGAAAATAATTATTAAAAACTCATCTCAGATTACAACCTCTTTTGTTGACCGTATCATCTTTAAAGATCCTCTCTCTCTCTCTCTGAGCTTTCGGATGCTGCGATCGGCACAGAGGGATGGACCGCCTTTTATCCCCCCAGTTTCCAATAGCAGGTGCCTTGTCTTCGATCTCCTTTGGAAAAAAGGGTGTCGAAGAATATTTTTTTTTCCTTTATTGTCCTACATAGGCGTGAGATATTATCCCATTCATCCTGTTGGTATTGTTTCCCTTTTAAATTAAGTAATAACTCCTCATTAATTAAAAATCATTTCTTCCCAATTCTTCAAAGAACTCCTTTAATTCTCCATGAATTAGGAAAACTCTAATTTAAAAATCCTAAATAAATGTTTATTCTTAATTAAATTTAATTACTAAAACCCAAAAATAATTTTGCGAAAATTGAAATTAATTTCTTTTGGGAAAAACCAAAACAATTTTTACAATTATAAACAAAATTTAAATTCATTACAATTTTAAGTTTTTCTAAGTTCTTCTAACTTCTTCCAAGTTTTTCTGCGGATATCAATATTGAGAGAAAAAACGAATCAAAAGTGTTGCGAAGCAACATTTTTGATTCTTTTTTTCTCTCAATTTGATATCCGCAGAAAAACTGCGATTATGAATTAAAAAAAAAAAATTCTTCGATTTATAATATAGTTGCAAAAATACTAATTCGAAAAGAAATAATTTCTCCATTTTATTCGTTTCAAATTTCGCAAAAAAAAAAAAGAAAATCTCAACCTATTCGAAAAAAAAGAAAAGTCAATATATGTAGATTAGTGAAAATATCTCCTCAATTCCCACGGAAAAGCAACTCTTTTAAGATAAAAAAAAAAATAAAAAAGAAGCCTATATGTGTAACCGAGTCGACTCCCACGCTTCATTGTCAAGGTGGCTGGGTGAGCCTTAACATAAAAATGCGAATGCTTAAGCTCTTCGTGGATACAAATCTCGAGAATAGTCGTCTGGACACAATGGAATCTTGGGGGCTCTTCTGAATCACCACCATTGAGATTTGTTGGTGGTTAAAGGGCTATATATATGAAGGTTTTTCTTCTCTTTTCACCTTCTCATCTTTTTTACGGGAATCCCAAACTAAATTTTTTTTTTTTCAAAAAAATAGACCAGTTTTTCACGTGAATTCGAAAAACGGATTCCATACACATCATCATGGGACCGATACACATATAACGGGTTTACAATTCCCACGCGACGCGACGGTACTTTATTTCAATTAGGTCGAGCGGTTCCTTTCAAAAAGAAAACGAGAGAGAGAGAGAGAAAAAAAAAATAACATTCAACCGACTTTATTCTATTCAATTTCTTACGTCATAGGCGTGTCAAATTTTGAATTTAGACAAATTTTTTCCGTCTTAATTTTATACAATTTCCTGGAAATTCAATTTTTTCTATGTAAATAAAACATTTTACTTAATAATACAATAACAACTAGATTATTTTTTAATTATTCCATTGTAATTAATTTATCATTTGAAATTATAATATAATAATAATATTTTTAACTATTAAATAATATTAATAATAATAATAAAAATAAAAATAATATCACTGATAACCTAATAGTATCAAATTGCAACGAATTGATACCAAAAATGTGGATCAAATAAAAAATTGTTCCAAATTTTTGGCATCAATTTGATACTTTCAAGAAATTTTTCTAAATAATAATAATAATAATAATAATAATAATAATAATAATAATACATTGAAGCCCATGAGCTTATCGACATTTATTTAAGATATTTAATTTATTTGTGTAGATTGATTCGGGAAAATTGTTAACTTCTTTCAAATTTAATAATAATAATAGTTAATAATCATTTTTTATTTACTTAATTTTAATTATTCTATTGTTTAAAATTATTATTATTATTAAATAAAATTTTCTCTATAAGGAAACAATATTAATTAAAATAAAAAATACAATTATTCAATTGCAACTAAGTTAGTAAAACAAAATTAAATGTAAATTAAAAATTTTGTTGTGTTAAGAGAAAATTTTTTATTTATCGATAAAAAAAAGTTTCTTATTCGTATTCAAATGAAACGTTTTCGATAGCTACATGTTAGGAAGTGGAATTAAAAAATTTTTCTATTGATTTACCTACAACTACTGGGGAAGGTAGACCATTAACTCTGATTCTCATAATCGTTGGTGGGTAACCGACATTTACCCACCGAAGGTAACAAGGTCCCTCTTACCTTGCGAACGAAATAAAGTAGATTTCTGTTTTTCAACCGGAATCGATTGTTTCAAAAAAATATTCCAGTGTAAAATAATTCGAAAATCATTTTAATATAATTTTATTTTTACTATTTATCATTATTAACATTAATTAATTAATTAATTTTATTTATTTCAATTTTATCTTCAATCTCAATATTAATATTATTTTATTTTTATTTATTTTTTTATTTATATTTATTATTATAATTATAATATGATCGACTATTTCATCGTTTTATTATTATTATTATTATTATTATTATTATTATTATTATTATTATTATTATTATTATTATTATTATTATTATTATTATTATTATTATTATTATTTCAAAATATAAATTAATAAAAATTTTTCCACTAATTCACAAAAATAAGAATAGTTGTCAATTTTTAGTAAAATTTTGTCATTTTCCTTATTAGTTTTAATTTTTTTACAAAAATTTTAGTAAAAATTACTAAAGTTAAAACTTTCTAAACTGAAATTAGCAAATTTTAATAAGAAATTAGTAGAAATTACTATTTGTTACTGAATATTAATAATTCAAAAACAAAAAATCCAGTCACTAATTAAAATTATAAAATATTTTTGATAATTTAATTCTACATTAAAAAAAAAAATTATTTGATTCAGTGTATAGAGTACTAATTGTTAGTTGAAAATTATTAATTGTAGTAGAAAACTTCTCATTGGTAGTAGAAATAGTAATTTTTAATTGAAAAATATTTCTCTTACTGTTTAAATCAGAATTAATAGTTTTCTACTAATAAAATAGTGTGGATTTTTTTACCAATTAAATTAGTAACAGTTCTGACTAATTTTTAGTAGTTTTCGACTAATTTCTAATAGAAAACTACTAATTCATGTAGTAAGTCGGTTTTGTTATTTGCAATAGTAAAAAATACGAGTTACTAATGAATTAGTAGTTTTCTACTAGCAATTAGTAGTTTTATACTATTAATTAGCAGTTTTCTATTAGCAAATAGTAGAAAACTACTAAAAATTAGGCAAAAGTGTTACTAATTCAATTGATAAACGAATCCGCACTATTTCATTAGTAGAAAACTACTGGAATTCAGATTTAGAAAGTACCTATAGTTTTTTAATTAAAAAAAAAATTTAACATAGTTTTATAATTAAACAATAATTAATTTCTCCCCTTTTTCTTATTGCAGCCAACAAGACACTCAAAATTGGAGAAAGCCGACATTCTCGAAATGACAGTGAAACATTTGCAGACAGTTCAACGTCAACAATTGAGCACTGCTGTTGCCACTGATCCAGCAGTTCTCACCAAGTTTCGTTCAGGCTTTTCCGAATGTGCAACTGAGGTGTCACGATACGTGAGTCATTTGGAGAACGTCGAACCAGCCGTCAAGCAACGTCTAGTCTCACATCTCAACAACTGTGTGAGTCACCTTCAACAAGTTGCACCATTCTACAGTCATTACGTGCCGTACATGCCAGAACGTCTCTATCCCGAAGTTAAAGTTGGCTTTCAAACCGACTTTCAAAATGGCGACGAAAACAATAATGGCAGCGCAAGAATTCAAATTCCAAGTGGCGTTCAACTAATACCAAGTCGTCTGCCAACCGGTGAATTAGCCCTTCTAGTACCACAATCAGCCGGCATATCAGCAAATTTCCCCTTCTTCCCGCCAGCGCCCGAAAGTGCCGCAAGAATTGGTCCATCCTCAGCATTCACAGCAGTTCAAAGATCACACAGTCCACTTCTAAGTCCATCCACATCCACATCAAGTTACGACGAGCAATATCCATCAGTTCAATCACCAACACATCAATTTAAAATACCCGAACAAAGTTCATCGGCGTCATCGAAAAGTTTTTCATCACCCGAAACGCAAAAACCTCAAATTAGTTCAACGAGTGATCGAAAATCACCAACGACAATTTTTATTGAACCCATCAAGAGTGACAATAGTTGTGCGGCTGCTGCTGTTGCTGCTGGCGTTGCGGCTCGGGTCATCGGCTCCGAGTCATTCACACCACCGTCGAGTCATTCAACAGGTGGAGAACTCATTAATGGGTCGCAGATTTTGAGGCAACCATTGTCAGTTATCACCGAGAAAACATGTAATCGACCATCACTCATGAAGAGGGAGAATTTAAAACGACATCATTCCGATGGTCTTTTATCAATTTCCGAAAAGAAAACAAGATATCAAGAGCCATTAAATTCCACTGCTACTACTACTACTATTGCAGCTTCAACAAGTACAAATAATGGCTATTTTCGTTTGGACAGTGAACATACATCAGCATCAGCTGAAGATCTATCGGGACGAAATAATTTCGTCAGAGAACAACGAAATACACGACACTTGGCTAATGCTGGACCATCAAATGGTGACATGTGGAGGCCCTGGTGATCATATAGCAATTGGACTTAATTTATTAATTCTGAAAGATATTTTTTCTATCAGACTTTTTTGTTTTTTTTAAATATTTACTGTTATTTTTGTTTTTTTTATGATTTCTTGTGTGGAAATGTTTCCTCCAAAGACACAGAAAAAAAATTTGTTTTATTTTTACGATACACAGGGAGAAAGATAGAATTTACAATAGAGATTGTTACATTCAATGTTTATTGACAAATGATTTGTATTAATTTCTGTTTAGAATGCTACTGTCTTAATTAATTGATGTTATCTTGATTACAAATGTAACCAAAATCGTCGTCAATATATATACTCTCTAAATCTGAATTAGTATAAAAAGTCACTAATGAAATGACGAAAAGTCGTCCACCAAATTATTTAGTAATAATTGTACTAACAAATAGTGAAATTTTACTAATTGATAGTAGAGCTTTACTAGCTTAGTAGAATTCAACTAAAAATTAGTAGAACTGGTTTATTAATAGTTGATAAAATAGTTTCACTAATTCATTTAGTGGAATAAGTGACTTTCAATTAGTTAAATTCTACTAAAACACTTGTAAAATTTTACTAACAATTAGTAATATTTTATTAATAGAAAAAAAGAAAAGTCGTCCACGAAAACTAATAAAAATTAGTAAAATTTTACTATTTCTAAGTAGAATTCTACAAATTCAGATTTAGAGAGTAATTTACATTCAAAATTCGACCAAACGGATGGTATTTATTGTAAATTATGTTGTAAATTTTACCATACGATTTCAATGCTATGCCTTTCATTTTCACTTTCATTTTGACTTTGAAAAATTTTTATTCCCATTTTTAAGTTTACTTCCACTTTAAGAAATATTTATTTTTATCATCATTTTCACTACGATGGACATTTACTTCGACTTTGAGATTTTATAAAAACTTCTGAAAGTGTAAATGAAAATCTATCAAAGAGAAAATTAAAGTGAAAATAAAAATCCTTCAAAGAGAAAATGAAAGTGAAAATAAATATTTTACAAATTGAAAATGAAAGGAAGAATAAATATTTTTCAAAGTGAAAATTAAAGTAAGAGGGAAAATTTCTAAAAATGAAAATTAAATTGGAAATCGAAATATTTGTTAAATTATTTGCATTTATTGCAATCTTTATTGTAAATTCTACCAAACGGATTGTAATAATCACAACCTGCAATGTAAATGTTACCAAAATGAATTGCAACAATTCACAAACACTATTGTAAACGAACCAGTCCCTTTTTCTCAGTGTAAATTTATATATTTTTTACAAACTATATCAACATATCAATTTTCCCAACGAATTCCCAATTACAAAAAGTATAAAAAAAATTATACTTCTTCGTTAATTGATCAAAACAACACCAAGGCCACTTTAACAATCAAGAAAAATTTCACCAACACTTGAAATTTTCGTTTTTAACAAATTAATATTATTAATAATATTAAAAATAAAAATAGTTAAAGTGAGCGTTAAAAAGAAAAAAATTGTTTTCGATATTTCTTAATTTGAAAATCTACTTTTAGATATAATAGAAAATAAGAAAAAAAAGACAAAATGTAAGGATATTTTTTGAAAGATTTTCGTTTTTATCTTGATTGCTTTAATATAAGAATTCAGTGTGATATTTTTTTTCTTCTATACATTTTATACGTTTCCCGATATTATATTTTTTATAATAGTTTTTTCTTCTCAAATATTCTACGATTTATACGCCCAAAGTGTAAAGAATAAACATCTCAACGAGATAATTAATCATATTTGTAAATAACAATTGTAAATAACATTTGCGTACATTAATTTAAAGTTATACTATACGAAATAGAAACAAGAAAAAATAGAAACTAGTGAGGTCAGTATTGTCAAACAGCACAGTTGTAAAAAAAGTCTTATTTTAAGATGAGAGTGAAACTCAACACTTGTAGCCATAATTTATTGAATTTATAGAGTAAATTCTTTCTTTTCTTTCTGACTTAAAATAAGACTTTCTTGTGTCTTAAAACAAGACTTTATTGTGTCTTAAAATAAGACTTTTTTCTGCCATAATGTAAGACTTTCCTTCTGCCTTAAAATAAGACTTTATTTTTACTGTGAATGTTAATGAACTTTTGCAGGTTTGTGATAAACAATGTATTGAATCTAAATACATAAATTAATTTACTTAACAAAAATTGTTTTTAATTAATCCTCTCAGTCCTAAGTTTGAATATAAGAGAAAAATGTTTCTTATAAACTTTCACTTTAATTTTTATTAATTTTTATTTTCACTATCATTTTTGCTTTAAGATAATTATATTTTTAATTTTATTTTGATTTTAACAATGTTTTAAATTCAATTTCACTTTCATTTTGATAATTTTATTTCCACTTTCATTCTCGCTTTGATAAATTTTTATTTTCAATTTCATTTTCACTTTAATAAATTTTTATTTTCAATTTCAGTTTTATTTTAATATAATTTTTTTCTTAATTTTATTTTGACTTTAACAAAGTATAAATTTAAATTTCGCTTTCATTTGGATAGATTTTTATTTTCACTTTAATTTTCGCTTTGGTAGAATATTATTTTCAATTAATAAAAAAAAAAAAAAAAAAATTTTTTTTCATATATTTGATAACAAAAAAAAAGAGAGTTCATTTTAATCCTGAATGTTGCAGTGGCGAAGAGAAAAGTAAGAGCATCGTACGGTGAGATGTTTTATCCTTTTAAGAGGCATTTAACGCGCCCGAGTTCATAAGCTGGAGATAGCTCTCCTCGTTTTTGCCGATAATAAAGGAATAAAAAAGTGAGGACGAAGAGAGTGAGCAATTCAACCACCTGTTACACCACAAAACCACCGTCGTGCTCATCGACCGAGCATGAGAACTGATTTATCGACTGAGTTTCTCACTCCCACCCTCTATAACACCACTTTAGTAAATTTCCCTCAAAATTTTCTTACGTACAAAAGTCAAATATTATTCCCAACGGTAAAAATTTCATTAAAAAATTTCATAAAAAAATTTCATATAAAAAATTTCATATAAAAAATTTTTTTGAAAATGAAAATTTTAGATTTATTGAAAATTGTTGATACTTGAAAAATTATCTGCAAGTTTTCAGAAATTTCTTTTGAGAAGCTTAAAGTATTAATTTTCGAATTTTATAAAGTTAATTTTAAGATTTTATTTTCAAGAATTTATTTATGAAAAAATTATTCAGAATATTCGAAATTAATTCCAAGATGCTTATTAAAAAGTATTTAAATATTCTAAGTGGAAAAATTCAGGAGGGAAAAAAATCCCTAATTTTCATGAAAAAGTACGCTATCTAAAGGAATTGGTTGGAACTCGTTCGATCCTCGACTTCGGAATTTCGCTGAGAGATGGAGACTCTAATTCGCAGGATATAAATATAAGGACCTCGCACCGCACGCTTCTATCTTCTTTTATTTTACATCCACAAGCATATAAAAAGTACAATCAACTTTTATCTTATAAAATAACAATAAAAAGTACATTTATATACCAGGGACATACACTAATGAAGTTGATATTTTCTGTGATTCGAATGACTGCATATATAATCGCAACTTCACATTGGGTAGTCTAATCATTAACCGGTTTTTCACTAACAGAGCACACATATATATATATATGTAGTTTCGAAATCGAAATGGCGAAAGGATGCAGTAAATCAAAATATATATAGAAGCCTGGAGTTATAAAGCATAACTTTAAGTAAAGCATTTGTCACGAAAGTGTATTAGAATTGGATAATTATAAAATTATGCCTCGGGGATTCCATAAGCGGAACGGCAAAAGAAATGATGCGATTTGTCTGCGGGAGAGATACACACTACTTCTTCTTCTTCTTCTTCGTCCTCCTCCCTTTTTTTTCTCCTTCACCAATTTTCAACAAATATTTCAACATCAATTCCCGTTCGTTTATTTATTTATTTTGAATATGTAAATCCAATTATTATTAAAATTACTTTGAATCTTTTTAAAATATTATCATTGCTGACAATATTTTACATATATACAAGCCGGCAGTAACACCAACTTGTTTAATATATTTAATAAACAGAACATTTTCTTTCTTTTCAATTAGAAATATTTTTAATGGCAGCTATAAAAAAAGATTTAGGAAGAAGAATTAAAATATTAAAATATGAAAATTAGTCAAAATGAGAAAATATATAAAATAGTCGAAATTTAACTCCTAAAAAGCACTTAAAAATTTAATCTCTAATTTGTAAAATTTTAAAGAAAATTAACAGAATAAAAATTAAACTGAAAATCCTAATTTTTCCTAACGAAAAATAGTCAAAATAGAAATTAAAATCAAAATTCTAAAGAAAATTTTAACAAAACAAAAATTAAACTGAAAATCCTAACGAAAAATAATCAAAATAGAGATTAAAATCAAAATTCTAAAGAAAATTAACAAAGTAAAAATTAAACTGAAAATCCTAACGAAAAATAGTCAAAATAGAGATTAAAATTAAAATTTTAAAGAAAATTAACAAAGTAAAAATTAAACTGAAAATCCGAACGAAAAATAATCAAAATAGACATTAAAATCAAAATTCTAAAGAAAATTACTCAAATAAAAATTAAACTGAAAATTTCAAAGAGAAAGAATTAAGATATTAAAAATTTTAAAATCAAGAATTTTTGAAATTTAACAACTTATAATTAAAATTGTTATTATTAAAGATATCCGACTAATAAAATCATTATTTTTTATTATAAAAATATTGCTACTGTAACTTCTTCAAAATTATTTTCATCATATCAATTCAATTATTATTTTCTAGAATTTTTAACTAAAATTCTTCTGTAAGTCAATTATTTTTAATAATTTTTGAAAAAGTTTCTTGAGAATTTTCAACTTCATTTGTTTACAATTCAATTTTTCGAAATTTCGATTATTCGAAAATTTTCCAGTAAAATACAATAGAAATAAAACCTCAAATAATTAATAATAATTTCAAAAAAATTTAATTAAACTTTTTCAAAAAAATTAATTCTACACAATTGTTAGATAAAAGTATGAAAAATTCAGATTTTCAAAGATTTAATTTAAAATCCTTTTCAAAATTCAATTATTTCTAAAAATCCATGTGCTGTTAATATTCAATTTTTATCTAAAACTTTAGCTGAAATTAATTTTTATAAGAAAATTCTACGAGAATTCAATTATTTACATAAAAAAAAATAATTTATTGAATAATTAAATGTTTATAAAATTGAATTCTTGTAAAGAATTTTATCAACAAATTTGTAAATAATTGAATTCTATTGATGAATTTGAATAAAATTTTTAAGAATAATTATATTTTTCGAGGAATTCGATTAAAATTTAATTAAAAGTAATTGAATTTTTGCAATGAGTTTTATTATTTATGAAAATAATTGAATTTTTAAATAGAATTTTATTAGTTATAAAAATAATTGATTCCCTGTAAAGAAATTTTACTATTTATAAAAATAATTGAATTACTGCGAAGAAATTCTGCGATGAATTTTATCATTTATGAAGAATAATTAAATCCTT